TGTAAAACTTTTAACTTTATACATTTTTCTGTATTGCTTTATTGCATTTAAATGTTCAGTTATTTTTGTTATAAGAAAAAGTTATTAATCCTGTTATACTGTATTATGACAGCACTTTTTTAAAACTAAATTTCAATACCGTGATAATACCGTATACCGTGATAAAAGCATTAGCAATTAATCGCAACATGAAAATTTGATACCAGCATATCCCTAGTCAGAGGTGACTGCTGATGTAAAGGTGTGAGGTCAAAGGTTAGTCCTGACCTGTGTTGTGGATGGCGTGAGTCCAGAGCAGCTGTGCGATGTCGTGGCTCCAGGTTTGTCTCTCCTGCACGCTGGAGGCCTGGAGAGTGAGACAGTCTCTGGTGCGGGACGCGTGTCTCACCCACACCTCAAACCTCAGTCCGTCCTCGCCCACGCTCTGAGTGAGACCCATCTCACCCGTCTGAGGAAACACAGGCAGTCAGACGCCACCATACTAACATAGTACTCACGCTCTGTAAGTGCAATGTGCACAGTGTGTCAACTGTCAGTGTGCACCCATTGAACACATGAAGAGTTCAGATGCAAAAGCCTCTTTAAGTACGTCTGACGTTTTTCTTTAAAGTTAGCATTTCTTTCTGGCTACTATGTATAGGTTTCTATGTAAGTACTGGTACATCTGCATGGGTTGAGGCTGGGATTTAGCGCATTTGAAAGTACTTGATGGACAAATACTATGTGTGGAGAGCATTCACTCATTGGAACTGTTTCCCACATATTCATGCATATTTAAAAATCCACATAATCAAACTGAGATGCCATTTAGTGTCAGAAATGATATACTTTAAAAAGAATACACTGAATGTAATGTGTTTGCAGTTATTTGCAATTAACTGAAAATGTATTATAGTTTAAATTTATATTAAATGCAGTTAGCTTAACTTTAGTGTTTTGACCCACTTAAGTAGGACTTAAGTGCATCGTTATATGTAATTTCATTATTACTTCTACTTAAAAAAAAAGATGGTTAAAGTACTGCTGAATGCAGAAACATTTATGATAAACTAAAATGTACTTTAATGCAATTTCTATCGAAACTTGTTTGCCATGTACTTAAATGTATTTGTAACTAATTACATATTTGTATTGG